GAGAGAGAGAGAGAGAGAGAGAACCAGGCACAGTGTGTCCTTGGGCCCCATTCCTGAAGCCCAGGGTTGCTGTGAGCTGGGTGCATGTGCAGACAGGATGGGAGCAAGCTAGAAAGTGGCCTTCGCCTCTCTCACAGCGGGAGCAACAGACACCCAAAGAGGACACACTGGCTTGTATGAGGGCCCTGGAGACTGTGTGCCCGGAGTTCCCACTCCCTCATTACACAGGGAGACTGTCCCTTCTTGCTCCCCTGTGGGAACTGGCTCGTGGCCCCCGGTGGCCCAGGCACACACAGGCTGGTGGTGGGTACGTATGTTCAGCTTTATTTCTTTCCATGCTCAGAGATACAGAGGCGTCGCCTGGCGTGAGAGGAGGTGGGGCAGGGGAGGGGGTGCTTCTTGCTGCTCGCTGGACGCAGTGGGAGAAGTGCCCTGAGCCAGGGGGCTGAGTTCATGCAGCCAGCAGCTGGACCCTGGGAGGGGAGCTTCTCTAGGCTGCGGGAACCCCCTACTCGTCTCTGAGCCGATTTCTCATCCTGCCCAAGGCCCCTCTCCACTCTGCTCCTTCTGCCCCGCCTGTGGAAGGACCACCGGGAACCCCTGGAGTTGTTCTTGCCTGAATGGAACTCTTCCGGGTCCTGTGCTTGGGATGTGAATGAGTGGGGGAGGGAGGCAAGGGGGGGACACAGGTGTCTGTGTGGAGTTGTGTGGGAGGGTCTTGGGCATCAGAGGAACCCACCCTCTTCTTCCTGGGTTCCTGAGCGTCCTAATGGCAGCAGGGCTCGGAGCTGCCTCCCCTCTCCCGCCCACGCCCACCCGCCACCTAGTGCCTGTCTGAGAACAGTCTCCTGAGCCATCCACAGACCACACCTCTCCAGGCCTGACCTAAGCTCACAGGTGACACAGCACCCCCAGCTCAGGGCCCAACCCCACCCCAGTCAGGAGACTCTATTTGGGTCTCCAAGGCCCCAGTGGAAACCCAGCAGACCTCTCTGCAGGGCAGGAGAGGCCAGCTCTGGCTGAAGCTGCTGTGCCTCTGGGCCCTGCTCCCCTGCCCCCTGGCAGACCAGGCCTCCAAGCTAACAGGAGCCTCTAAGGCGAGTGGGGGAGGTGGGCCGAGAGGAGGTACAAGGGTCCTGACTTGCCACCTTGCGCCATTCTGGGTGTAGTCTGGGCGGTTGCTGGGTGGAGGTAGGGGTGCTGGGGCAGTAACCCTGTCCTACTGAAGGCCTCCTAGGACAGGAAATTGGGCAACATCCTTTCCAAAGGTCTGGGAGCCAAGACAGTGGGGCGTGTAATACCACAAGATACTCCCCCACACACACACACACACACATACACACACCGGAGCAGAGCCTGCCCAGGTGAAAGTTGGAAGAATTAAGAGTTGAAAACCAACGAAGAGATCAGGGGGCCTCTCAGTTCCTTGCTGGTGCCCCATTGGGTCCTACCAGTCTCATCGCCCAAGGCAAAGAGGCCCAGCATCCTGCCCCCTCCTCTGAGCGTGTGAGTGCACCCCCAGACCCGGGGCCCCTGCAGTCCTGCCCCTCACTCTCCTGGGCCCTTCAGCTGGACCCTGAGAATCTGTAGGCCCAGGAAACAAGGAACTTCCATTAAACTTCTCCAGCCCATCCTCCCTGCAGGCCGCCCCAGGTGCCCGTGGGAAACCCCAAGATGGTCCCAAGGCCTTCTTCCAAGAGATCCTTTGTTGGTCCTTTGTCAGGGGTCAAGGGCACAGGGCATCAAGGCCAAGAGAGCGTCTGCCGGGGCTGGATTGGAGCTGGAAGCCCAGGTCCCACCTGAGCCACTCTGCTTCGAGGCCTCCACCCGTGCCCCAGCTTTTCTGTTTTAGCTCCTCCCCCCTGGCGACCTGGGTGGGGTCAGGTCCAGGTGAGAGCAAGAGGCAGGTTGAGCTGAGCAGGCAGACGCAGCTGGGAGCGGAGTCCTCAGCATAGGCTGAAAAGCTTGTGGACAATGGGGGTTCTCAGCTGAGCAGCCACGCTTCCCTTTGCCCGCAGGGTTCCAGGCACATGCTGAGGGGCCCAGGCTCCAAGCTCTGCGCTGGCATCGCAGCGGGCATGCAGTCCAAGGCATGTAAGCCGTCTGTTTGGACCCCTCACGAAAAATACAAAAGATGAAGTCCCGCGTCTGTGTCCCTGGTCGGCGGCCAGGCAGGGGTCTCCGGCTTCTCTCCCCAGGGTGCCCTGTCTTCGTTGTGGGGTCATTTCTTCTCCTCCTGGCAGTTTATGCTGCTTGGTGGGCCCCAGGAGACGGTGGGTGTGAGAAGCAAGCCTGTCACTGGGTCAAGGGCTGAGACGTGTTTGTGAGGTGTCCGATGTCCTGTGTTGGTTCCCCATTTCTTGCCTGCCTGCCTCTTCCCGCCTGATCTGGGCTGACAATGGGACGGCAAGGAGGTTTCCCTCCTGTGCTTTTGGTGCTGGGGGACAGGCAGGCACTCGGCAGTCACATGGGGGGCTGGGGGAACTGCAGCCTGTCCTCTGTGGGGAAGGGGTGTGTGAGTTCAGAGTTCTCCAGCAGGCCAGGGCTTCCCTCTGCTCGTCCGCTCCCTGGTGAATCGTATGTCTTCTAAACTGTAAAGAAAAGAACAGCGCAGAGGTCAGAACGCGGGAGCCCGCTCTTTGAGCCCCTCTTTCAGGATATGGGGCTTTGTTCCTAGTAGAAAGCAGGAACAAGGGAGGACGCTCAGGGTTGGGTTCGCTTTGGTTTGGTGACTCTCGGTAGAATGGAGCCTCAACCAATGAGAAGACTACAGCCTTGATGATTGGTTCCCAGGAGGGCGTGCAACCCTAGCTGGGCCAATCAGAATCAACCCTGGGACTTTGTTAAAACGGTTGGGAAAGAGCACTTTCCTCTCCCCTCCTGTTTTGTGACTCAAAGCAAAAAACTAAACTCATTATCTTTGAGTGGATTCTCATTCAGAGTAACCCTATAGAGGAGAATAGAGCTTCCCCTGTGGGTTTCCAAGACTAAATATTTTTTAAAATATATTTATGATATGTATATACTATACATTGATTGATTAATTGATAAATCATTTTATTGGGGGATCGTACAACTCTTATCACAATCCATACATCCATCCATTGTGTCAAGCACATTTGTACATTTGTTGCCGTCATCATTCTCAAAACATTTTCTTTCTACTTGAGCCCTTGGTATCAGCTCCTCATTTTCCCCCTCCCTCCCCCATACTCTCCCTCATGAACCCTTGATAATTTATAAATTATTATGTTTTCATGTCTTGCACTGACCGATGTCTCCCTTTTCCCACTTTTCTGTTGTCCGTTCCTCTGGGAAAGGGTTACAGGTAGATCATTGTGATCAGTTCCCCCTCTCTCCTCCCACCTTCCCCTTCCCTCCTGGTATGGCTACTCTCAATATCGGTCCCGAGGGGATCATCTGTCCTGGATTCCCTGTGTTCCCAGCTTTTATCTGTACCTGTGTACATGCTCTGGTCTAGCCAGACTTGTAGGGTAGAATTAGGGTCATGATACTTGGGGGGGATGGGGGATGGGAAGCATTAAAGAACTAGAAGAAAGCTGTATATTTTTTTTAAATTGAAAGCTGTATGTTTCATCGGTACTACACTGCACCTTGACTGGTCTGCCTCCTCCCCGCAACCCTCCCGTAAAGGGATGTCCAGTTGCCTACAGATGGGCTGTGGGTCCCCACTCTGCACTCCCCCTCATTCAGAATAATATGATTTTTTATTCTTTGATGCCTAATACCTGATCCCATCCACACCTCGTGATCACGCAGGCTGGTGTGCTTCTTCCATGTGAGCTTTGCTGCTTCTCAGCTAAATGGCCGCTTGTTTACCTTCAAGCCTTTAAGACCCCAGATGCTATATCTTTTGATAGCCAGGCAACATCAGCTTTCTTCACCACATTTACTTATTCACCCTCTCTGTCTTCAGGGATTGTGTCCAAGACTAAATCTTTATGGAAGTAGACAGCCTCGCCTTTCTTTCATGGAGCAGCTGGTGGATTCAAACTGCTGACCTTGCAGTTAGCAGCCCACCTTGTCACCAGCATACCACCAGAACATCTAATTTTGTTGCTAGACTGCTAAAAATGTATAGAGCAGACTAATGGAAACCTCAAGGTCTGTAGTCACCCTCCAAGTCTGTAACTGAACTCACCCCCCGCCCCCCACTGCCATTGACCATTTCAGACCACAAGAGCAGCACTGACCCACGGACGAAGCCCAGAGCATTAGGACAGAAGGAGGAACAGAGACAGGAAACACGGGAGGAAGTGGGGAGCGTGATGGTGCCTCGAGGGGACTGCAGTGAAAAAGTTGACACAAACTAAGTGATGAATTGTTGAAGGTACACCCGATGGCCTGCTCTGTAAACCTCCACCCAAGTCACAAGAAAAAGTTACAAACAAACAAAGAACCCTTTAAGGGGTAGCTTGCTCTCCTGAGGAGAGAGCCTACTCAGGAGTGAAGGTAACACCGGAGGAGGCAGAACGCAGGAGGAGAGAAGAATGAGGGTCAACATAGTTTGAACACCTGGATACAGCCATGCCTGAAGACGGAACAACCCATGCTTGATTTGAATTTTTTTTTTTTTTTTAGGGAAAGTATACAAATTCCCTTTGTCCAATTTGATGTTGCTTGCCATCTAGAGAATCCTGGCTACAATGACAAGCCTCGGCCAAACGAAGGAAATGGAGGCACCGTGGAGTGAGCCTGGGGCCTACAGCGCCGACCAGACTCTGCACGTGGGCTGAGAGCCAGAGGGCCTGAGCTTGCTGCGATTCACGCAGCTCCGGTCAGTGGTCCAGGAGCCCTGTGTGCCCATGACTGAATCCCAGGTCTCTTTCCACAAGTTGAGCACACCACCCTCTAGATGGGTGCCTCAGGGGACGGGGACGGGAATCGATCACCTGGGGCTCTTACCACAAAGCAGACTCTGAGAGTCTGCACTTCTGACGCGTCCCCATCACTGGTCCCTGAGCCACATTTTGAGGAGCAAAGTCCTGGGTAGCCGGAAGATGGGTAGCTCCCCACCCGTGCCACCCAGACACCCACAAACTGCATGAACGTTGTGAGCAGCCCAGAGTCCCCTTTAAAAATGGCCCCCTGCTTAGGCAGGTCCACCAGACCACCTTCGGATGCTCACCAAGCCTGACTTGATGTCTCCTACCATCTGCACTGTTTGCTTCCAGCACACCCTGGGCACCTCAGCTGGCCTGCTGCTGGGGGGAGTCCACCGTTCACAGGGCACCACACAAAAGCCTCTTGGGACCGTGTGATAGATGCAAACTCCCCTGCTCGGCCCCACAGGACATCAGCCAGGTCACAGGGCTGTCACTGCTGGGACAGTGCCTGTCCTCGGGTCCTGAACCCTGTCTGTGCTCTTCCGCGGCCTGTAGACCTCACACCATGAAAGCCCACCCATTTGCCCCTCCCCCTCCCCTGTGCACACGTGGGCCTCACCTGTGAAGTTGACAGTCACCGCCACGATGATGATGACGGTACCCAGGACGATGAAGGTGATGCTGAGCAGCCTGGCCAGGCGGCCCAGTCTCCGGGCCCCGTCCAGGTCCCCCTGTTGCACGCTCCCGCGAGACTGCGGACAGAGAAAGGCAGAGGTCTCAGGCAGTCTGTCTATGGGTCGCAGCAAGCCCTGCAGCCCTGCGGGTCACCCTGAGTGCTACCCCAACTCCAGCAGCCCCTCCCCAGGAGAGGAAAAGGACTCTTTTTGGCGAGATAGTTTGGATTCCAAAGCGGAGGCCTGGGACCCAAGCCCACCTCTCGCTTCTTGGAGTGGAGACCAGCCCTGCTGGAGGCCTCCTCCCGGGGCACTGGCTGGACAGGCAATGCCAGAGGCCGAGCACCTGCAGGCATGGTGCACACCCAGCCACGCTGAGCTGGCACCAACTGATAGGCCAGGTCCCCTGAGACCCCAGCCACACCGGGATCCCAAGACAGCCCTGTGGCTTTTTCTGTGGCCTGATGTGCTCGCTCTTGCCCTTCATCAGCCCCTTCCTGCCACGGGGAAAATAAAGACAAGACCAGAAAGCACCCCCGGTCCTTCAAGCCCACTCCCCAGGTCACCGAGCAGGAGGGAGAGCTGGCAAGGCTGGGGGCTGGTTCCCTCCTCATCCCTCAGGAAGTGCTTTCCCCACCCCCACCCCCACCGCCCTTGGCTCGCTCGGAGCTGGTGAAAGCTGATGGAAGAGGGCAGGAGTGGAGACTTAGGGACAGGGA